CAATGCAATATAAACCAGGGCCCACAGCAAATGCATGACACCCTTGTGCTTGCTTGTTCGGGAGCCAAGGCAAACGACTATTGCCTGATGGTCGCAGTGGCATACCACCTGGTGTTTATTCATTATTCAACAACCAGCCGAAGAGGACACCCACCAGTAAAATCGGTAGGAGCTCCTTCACTGTGATGGGCAGATCTATGGTGTTGGCATCCCATGGTACGTACCTGGAACCAACTCTCTCCTGACCATGCACCACAACCCCAGTGGCCTGAGGCGTCCAATGTTAGTTGATGCACAGGCAGCTGCTGGCGGGTAGGAAGGGACAAGATGCCGTTCCAGCGAGAGACGAAAAACTGCCACCAGGCCAAGTCAGCTCGGAAGAGACGGATTGGCATGTGTCCTCCGCATCTGTTTCAGGCTGATCCAGAGTAGAGGAGGTCAAGCATCGGCCGCTGGAAAGACTGGCCTGCTCGCATCACCTTGAAGACGAGATTTAGCAGGCCTACCAGGGATTCCAACTCCTTGCGGGTACATACTTTCTTATTTCCCCGTAATGACTGGAGCCGCTGCAACTTCTTGTCTGGGACCCGAAATTCCCCTGCGATAGTGTCAATTTCGATCCAGAAAAAGACCAAGCATGTAGTTGGACCTTTGGTAATTTAAGCCACAGTAGGCACCCCTAACTGGCTGCATTTTCGCTGCAGTGTAGTGACACCAGGGAGACCGAGGGGGCGCTAACACAATAAAGTTATCCAAGTATTGGTGAATATGATGGATGCCACTCCGCTGCAGGTGCCAATGCAGATCATCGGCCACTGCATAGAATAGGAGTTTGAATGTCTCCAAACTTGTTAGACGCATCGTCATGGTACCTACGTGAGGCTATTCGTTGTTGTTTACCAGCTTGTATTGTTGCTATTATGATGTTGGTGATTGAATACATTATGTATACAAAGTTTCGTTCACATAAATCGTACCATTTGTGAGTTACACAGGCACTGAATTGCCTGGGGCAATTTGTTGTTGTTTACAAACAAAAAAGTACGACCAGTCTCTTTCAGTGGCAGACATGTACATTCTTACAAAATTTCATTACTGTCTGTTGTTTTGTTTATGAGTTATGGGTGTTGAATCTAAAGTAGATGATGAACAAAACTCCCTATCATAGCCCCATACATCTATGATGCTAGGTATATACCATGCCCATCACTATATACTAAGTACTACCATACTTAGTGATACTAACAGAGTCACCAGAAAGTGTTGTGTGCACAGGCTACTTTCAGCTTGAGAGTAGCAGTGGGATGGGGAATTAATAACATAATTACTTACCACATTCAATCCCTATCTTCTTACAAGGAAATTAAAAATACTGCGAATTTAAAAAATGAGGCACAAAGGGATGCTATAAAAAGAAAGGGAGACAAGACAGGGATGGGATACACGAAGCATGGTTAATGAACAGATTTGAGCATACTGACACCCCCGACCCCATAACACAATTCCTCTATTGTTGCCTGATGTGCCACTCGTAAACTCCATTTTGACTCTTGGTTACTCAGTAGCATGACTTTTTTTTGGTATTTTCAAGGTGTAAAGTCATGACTTTTGTGTAATGTAGAATTTTTAATACTTTACCTAGGCAACAATATACTGTAAGGATTGTGTGATGGGGTCAGGGAAGTCAGCGTCCTCAAATCTGTTCATTAACCACACTTCATGTATCCCATCCCTATCTTGTCTATCTTTCTGTTCATACCATCCTTATATGCCTCTTATTAAATTCGCATGATTTTTAATTTACTTGTCTCCACTCATTTTTATATACTACTATACGTATATCTCTGAGAAAGGGGGCAAGCCCCCTAATGATAGAGAAAATGGCTGTTGTTCTCATGGAAACGATGTGATACACACGTGCACTAAGTTTCATCCCCATGTGTGCTGCCATTAGCAACTGATGAAGTAAAGGGATGAAGCTATTTATTGTTGTTCAAACAATATGTGGTCGTCATGGAAATGTCATATGCACGCGCACCAAGTTCACCTCCACGGATGCTAGCTTTAGCAAGGTGAGAAACAATTACTTCGAAAAGTGCCCAAGGCTATCAAACCACATGTGGTCGTCATGGAAATGGCGTAATACGCATGCGTACCAAGTTTCATCTCCATACGTGCAACTGTTACCAAGTTTAAGGAGTGAAGAAGTACTTTTAACAAGTGCCTATTTGCTGCTGTCCACAAATATGTAGTCACCATTAACCCTTGGCGTGCATGCGCAGCGAGGGTTACAGTAGTTGGTCTCTGTGTGTGTGTGTGTGTCCACGACTATTCTCGCACTACAGGCTATGAGGCGGCCTAAGAGCGATACCAAACGCTTCAGTGCTACAAGCGCATGAAAATTGAAATGGCGTTTTTCCTGAAAAGACTGCGTTCGAGAGATATGCCCTGAAAACAAGCGAAAAAGCCAATATGCATAATCGCACTGGGCTTACCGCGACCTGATCCGCTCGCTCTGTGTACCTTGGGGGCTCAAGAAGTCACAACGAATAGCATGTATCGACTCCCGCATGCTATATCTACTACTATAGCTAGCCCGTGTCAGACTCTCCGCGAGGTACTAGCGGGAGACCACGAGTACAAATAGCCCAGCCCATCAATTAGCAGTATCGCGCATGCGCAGTTCGCCGAGGGTTTGCACTTTAGTGCTTTACATGGTAACATGTACTTGTCATGGTAATACGCACACATGTTTCATTTCTATGCGTCCTACCATTATAAGTGAAGAAGACAATTAAAGGAAGTGCCTGATGCTTTTTGTTGTTGTTTACAAACATGTATTTTGTGATTTTGATGTTGGTGATTGAATAGACTATGTAATAAAGTTTCGTTCACATAGCTCTCACAAATTTTGAGTTGCACTGACCCATGTGATCCAATTATAATGTATTGCCTGGGGCTATTTGTTCTTGTTTACAATAAACAATCAACAAGTATGACCAGTCTCTTCGGGTGACGGATATCTACAATCTTACAAAATTTCATTACTACATTTTGTTTTGGTGTTGAGTTATGGGTGTTGAATCAGAAGAAGGAGAGGAAGACGAACAAAACTCTCTATCATAGCCTCACCCCGTACATTCATGATGCTAGGTAGCATACCCATCTCTATATACTAAGTACCACCATAATTAGTGATACCAACCTTTGGAGTGAGTTAGTTTCGAATTTACATATCAGATTGCAACGGCAAGGTGTGCTAAATCCCATAGTAAACCTCGACTGGGTTTACTAAATCCCGTAGTAAACCTACACAAACTACAAAACACACAGATAAAACAGGAAAACCTGACAAAATGTACATGTAAACAACAAGATCAACAACTGAATCTACATTAACGTGTTGTCCACGCGCACACGCCAGACCATGAACGCAGAGAAAGAATACGGAGTCATTACTACGCGTCTATTTTGCAGCTTCGCTCTTGCACTACATTTTCTGGCAGTCTGGGCCAGTTTCCTTCGAGTCATTGTTAGAAACGCTCCGCCATACGAACAAACAGGAAAACCAGAGTGCTGAACGTGAAGCACTCACTCTAAAATAGTTAGACGCTAATTCCTTGGTAACTACGTCCAGTAGAAAGCCTCGTGCCCCAGGGGAGCGCCCTCGCTGCGCTCAGGGTGCCACAATGCCAGGGCCTTAGGCTTTCTATTGCGCGTAGTTACCAAGGAATCAGCGTCGAACCATATTAGAGTGAGTGCTTCACGTTGAGCACTCTGGCTTTCCTGTTGGTTCATATGGCGGAGCGTTTTATTATCAGTGTCTTATTATTATGACACTACTGCACATGTAACAATGCAATTTGTAGCATGATGCGTAGGTGTATCAAAGACGCCGACAGTAGCATAAATACCATATTGCAAACGACAGTGCTACATTTTCCTGCTGGTGTAAAATATATTTTTAGCAAGGTCAGCACTTCAAATTGAAAAGTACAGGAAAAAATTTACAGCTCTCTAGATGTACCAGACTACCTTCGTCTCCACTTATGGTGGGGATGTGGTACTCTCTGATTAGTGCAGAATGCTTACCATGGTCAGTCCTCCTTGTTTACTCGACTTTTAAAGTCTACCAGTGCTCGTGCGAGGTAAGCAGCAGAAAGAATGCTATCGGCATGTGAGACTTCAGTCGCACAGTTGTCCTACAAACCAGTTAATGCACCGTTTACGCTCGTATACTATGAACTTGGATGTGGTTTCGAAGCCTGACAAGCTTATTAGCTTTTCGAGCACATCTTCCTCCCTCTCCCTCTCTCTCGTGCACCTGAGGTGCCTTCTACCCCCTGAAAATAGGAGACAATTCCCTTACTAAACGCAACGGTGCTTGAACAAGTACGTATTACTGATCACGTTACTTCTGGCCAATCAGATGCGTGGAAAGGTGTGAATTAAATCATGCAATATGCACTTAAGTGTGCAACAACCAGATAATGCATACTTCTACCGACAGGTTAATTTGCTGCGCTTCGACGCTCGATCGCCTATATCTACGTGCACGCATTGTCTGGAGGGAGGCCTACGGGGATACGTGACTTACTGAGAAGGCAGATAACATTGTTCGACACAAGCGGTGGTGCGTAGAGCTTTGCCACAAAAACAGGTCTCAGCTCCACAACTTGCAACACCGCGCAAACTAAGTAGTCACTCGTGACAGGCAATACTACAGCAGTTTACAGGCACACGCAAGGCTCTACAGACTACAGAGCTCTCGAGGTCGAACTGGCAGGACAGGAAGGGTGCCCCTGGTCCACCGAAGAAGTCTTCTAAGACACATAGCTAACTTTTGTGTGTTTCAATGTGGTGCACTCGAATGATGCGATAGCGCACGAGGTTCTGCACAAAGTTAGCTAAGTGTGTTATAACTATTACTTAATGCACTGTTTTAGGTTCCATCTTGCTTATAAGACCTTTCAGTATATTCTACATACCTATACACTTACACAGATATAACAGCATCTAATGCCTTATTCTTATGCTCTGAAGACCACGACAGGAATGTGTCCAGCCAACGATCAATAAATGGAGGGAGAGGACTTGTAGTGGACCTCTCTTGTTCCTGACCTTCTTCTCGATCACCCAGAGAGGAGAGTGATTGATGAGGTCTTGTGGAATGAAGGGAATACCTGTGCAGCAACACATAGATTTTGCAAAGTGAAGACGTAAAATCAGGATACAAACTAAACGTACTCGCATTAGCTCCATCTTAAATACCTAGGTCGTCAACATTGCCATAGCGAATGCACATTCCAAGTTGCATTTTTTATGTATGTAAGTGCCAGGCTAACAATGAGAACATTCACAATTAACACCCCACACAGTCTGTCTAACTCTAGCAAGGCAGGAGAATTTCTACGTAGCTTCTAAGACCATTAGAAACACCTGGAAGAAACAACAGTTGCAAGCCAAGAAGTGCATGTGGCCCAGCCTCTACCTTAGCACAAACGCCATGTAAGCGAGAGAGGTGTGTGCCTATAATAGCGACTGGAAAGCCAAAATAGTGTCACAAACTGTCCTTTTTTCATTTTGCAGCACATATAGCAACCATTGATTTCGAATGCTGATACTGAAGACATGTTATTACATTTACATACTCAAAACAGGGAAGACTGTTAGGCTAAGAAACCAAGAGCAACTGTTTACAGCAGGATAAAATGTAAACAGGATGCTAAATAGTTATTTAATCAGTGACAAAAAATATGCCCTGCAGGCTATTCCACAACATCTTACCACTTTATCAACTTCCTTTGTGAAACTGCTGCTGGTTTTGCAAAGCTACATATGGAGCTAAGATACGGTCTCTCAGTGAGCATACCCTTACCATTATGCGTAGCATCTGGTTTGTTGAAGCCGCTGCCCTTCGACATTCTGCAGTCTACGCAGTACCACCTAAGCTACAAGGGCAGCTAAGCTGCCTTGCCTTTGTTGTCACATACATAAACCGTCCACACACATGTACTGGCACCTCATTGAATTAAGAACACAGTTATTGGCAAAGCAACATAATACATGTACACACACAACACTCACGGTGCTATATCACAGGTTTTTCCTCTAGAGAAGGATTTACGTAAAAGTTTACATATTTGTACTTGCAAGGTCCTACAACACAGGCACCATATTCTGTTCCAGTCCTACATATGAAGCAGGTGCTTCTAAAGAAATGAAAAGCACTCTCGGCTTGCGCTATACAGCAGCATCAGCCAAACGAATCATGCACAAAATGCCCCAAGTTTATCGGCTGCTACGCATGGAAGACGATGTCGGTTAATTTGCTCTAACAGGCATCAGTAACAACCTTTTCAAGACTGCATGCATGTACTGCTCCTAGCTCGCGGTGAGTCGGACACGGGGTAGCCACACTAGTATATACGCCTTTTGCTGTGACTCTTTGTGCTTCTAATGCAAAAAAGACGACACGGATCAGATTGAGGTAAGCTGGTGTGATTGCATATTGGCTTTTTCGCTTATTTTCAACGGTATATCTCTCGAATGCAGTTTCAAAATCACCGTTTTATTATTCAAGTTTGTGTAGTTCTAAAGCTGTTGGTATCGCTTATGGGCTGCCTCGTGCACAGGCAGAAAGACAAACAAACAGACACACACAGACAAAGTACTGTAACACTTGCAGCATATGCACACCAAGTGTCAACTTGTACACATGTAAAGATAGAGTGGTAGTATAGTTCCCAGACCTCCACAAACAAGGAAGAAAGGGTGTTAATTTTGAGCAATATCTTGAACTTGGCATATAATTCCAGAGAGAAGTGAACCTCATCAATAAATTATGCATAAAGTGATGAACCCGCCATTTTTGCAAACAACACACCAACAGTAGGAAGCGCTGCTCAAACGTTGCCTTTAATAAATTCACATATTCCTGGTTGCTCATCAGCTCTTGAAATTTAATCCAGGCAGGTAATTGGTGAGCGGGAGCGAGCTAACGTAGTGCTCCAAACAGCGCGGTTTTTCTATGTACATATTTATACGTCCTGTTAGTGCGCATGCATCAGGATTACGCACTTCTTTTAATCCGAAATCAATTAAAAATTTTTACACGCTGCCTGTCATATGCCGATGCTAATCTAGACAGCGAGAGAACTATCGTCCATTCGGCTGCATTCACTGCGTTATTCGATGCCTGACCGAGGCTGTACCTCTTTTCCATCTTCGTGGTTCCAAGGTGCAAGTTGTAAAATCGGCTAGGTTGGATACAGTGATTGTGTGCTCACATCCACTCACCAAAAACGCCATGCATTCACCTACTAGTACTCTACATCGGTCATACGTTTTCAAGGGGAGAGACAACGGACCAAAATTACAACTACAACACACATGCGCAACAGGCAGGGCCTTCGCAAGGGAAGGCCCCTCAAGAAGTTTCCTGTTAAATAGGTTTGTCATGCGCAAAGCGAGGATGGCAGATCAACAGAGGCGGAGGAAAAACGTGCGAAAGGCCAGCTGCAATCCCAGAGCTGCTGCTGTGAAACCGTATAACAGCCCTTTTTATATGCCTTAGCTACATCCTAGGTCGCACAGTACCATCCTGGGTTTGTCTGCGCTCTCCTAGGATTAATGCACAAAGCTTGGATCCGAAGTTTGCGCAACAAAATCCTAGGATGGTCCGAATCCGAACTTTGTGCCTATATATATATCCTTCATTTTAAAGAGGGAAGCCCAAGAAATCGCTCGAAAGCAAGTAGACCCTCTTCTGTGTGGGTAGGTCTGGGCACAAGACTAACAGATCAAGTACTGTAAACCTCACTTTGCACATGCGCCAAAGGTTAAAGCAAATGTATCCGTGCATAAGGGCGAAATTTAGAAATTTCACTAAAGATAGAAGTAAACAATAAGGCCTAATGCAAGAATGCAATTACGTTTCCATTTTCAATAACAGTTTCTAAATTTAGCCCTTACATACTGCAACTTTCCCTCTAATGAGATTCATCCTTACAAGGCTTTGTGACTGGTGTGTGCTGATCCATCACTCAATACAGTTTTGGTTTATGCCCTAGGCTTACCAAAAAGTTACAATGATATAATAGCTGGTAAAATCTAAAACTAAAACACAATACAACATACACTATCCTATGTAGTCAGTTGGTTATCAAGTGTGACAGTGGGGAAGTATTTTACAGTCATTTAGCTTACCCAACGAAGTACCTTGGTCTTTTGGTGTCACCCTTTACAGTTGTGTTAAGCTCCTCAGTACTTACCCCAACTCGTTTCTAAGGTTAGGACAATAATAGACAAAAGTAAGGAGGGCAGTGTCACTTCCACATGCTTTACACCATCCTTTAGACCAGTTCTCACACAGATTAAAAAGCACAGGCATCTAAATAATAGTAGACTGGTTTCAAAGGTGGCGCACTGAGTACATCTGCAGCACCAGCGACCACAATGCATGACCTGTACATATTTCCCAATTAGTACGTATAGGTAGAATATGTAGTGATTACTCGGATTTTACGTTGAGACATTTCAAACTAACGGAGCGACTGATTCATCAAGGATACAGATACTCTGATTTGTGCAGGTCCTTTTATAAGTTTGCTAAAAAGCACGCACAAATTATGATTAAATATAGCTGCGGCATACGCAAACATGTGGAGGATGGTATATGTCTGCCAGCAATGGATAGATTCCTCAGTCGCCATGTGTCGCATAGATAGAATGTATATTTATAGTCACATATTTATTTTGGATAATCTATTTTTAACATTTCTATTTCTACCATTTCTACTATTTTCTTACACGTGTATATGCTGTGCGTTATTTTAAGTAATCGAGAGAACTATTAATCTTATTTTAGGAGTTCTATTTTTTCTATTTTTCTTACACGTGTATATGCTGTGCGTTATTTAGAATAATCGCACGTTTTTTATGTCTCCGTCGTGTCGTCATGCTGTGTGAGTTTCAGAGTTTTTATATTTTTCTATGAGTTTATTGGTCCTTTGAGGCTTTCTATTTTTCTACCGGCTGTTGTCTAACTGTCGTTTTTTGTACATGATTTCTATCTATTTATTTTCTAACTATGTATAAGGGAGGTTGGGACACTGGGTGTGTAGGGAGAGTTGGGCCCATAAAAGACTCTTTAACCTACCGCCCCGGTTCTAAAGGCTGGGCACCCAGGGTCCTGCCTCTTTCTTTCTGTTTATATGTTATTGTCTGTGTTTTTGTACACTTGGGTATGTTATTGTCTGTGTTTTGTGTGCTTGGGTGGGGGAGGTTCTTTCTTTTCCTCTGAGCTAGTATGCTATTAACATGTTTTTTCATGTAGTTTCGCTGGACTTGCAAAGCTTCAAATATATCTGTGGTCCAGATATGAACTATTTTCAAGTTGAGAAATGTAAAGAATTTAGATCTGACGCTGCTTGAGTAGTTGTGTACATCACGGCAGTTAGAACAGAGTAACGCGAAAACTGAAGATGGAGAAAGGCTCTGCTTTATTGCTAAACACTTAGCTTTGTGTTCAGATCTCCAGTTCATTACGGTTTTCCTTGGGCAAGATTACTAATGTATAGGTTAAAACCCAGGCCTAAAAACCAGGGCCTAGTAAAGACCCAGAACTTTAAAACTTGAAAAATGAAAGAACACAAGTGCAAACCCCCAGTGCACTAGATATAGTATGAGCACACATGAGAATACTACGGTGGCCGACAAGTGTCATCCTTCCAATTTCCATTTTGTGTTTCCATTTTCGAAATTCACATCCCATTTTCCATTTTGTACCTCCACTTTCTGTTCGCCATCACGCGCTGCGCACGGTCGGATGATGGTAGGCCCCTACGGCTCATCAGAGAATCGCACACAGAAAAAGACATGCGCTGAGCCTTAGGGTTGTCGATGCGGCTGGGAATACTGCCGGCCTGATTGCGCTGCTAACGTCTCTCGTCGACATTTTCCCGATCCGTGGGGTCTCCAGGTGGGTGTGGCGACTAGCGACTGTGGACTAAGCGTGCGGCAGACCATTACGCGGAGGTCTGGGTAGCGAGACCAGTGTAGCTAGGTCACGTCCAGAGAGGTGCCGTCGGACATCAGACGTGCTGCATGCAATTATGAAGCCGAGAAAGGACGGCAGTCCGCACCGCACTGGTCAAGCTATCTAGAAGGCCGGGAAAACAGAGAACGGAAGCGTGAAATGGAAGCGCAAAATGGAAAAAGGAAATAGAATTTGGAAATTGGAAGTACAAAATGGAAAATGGGAGGTGAAATTGGAAAATGGAAAGACGAAATGGAAATTGGAAGGATGGCACTTGTCGGCCACTGTAGAATACACGTACGAAGCAAAACCCGTACGCATGTACAAATCTGTGCCGCTAATAAAAGGGCTGTTGGTTTACTAGCAGGTTGTGGAAAAAAGAGGAAAGGTGCCTCATCTTAATTGCTATGCTGCCTTGCTGGGGCAAGAATTTCCTGTTGGTACTTGAATTACCCTCAGGTGCGCGCATGCACAGCAACTTATTGTAGTCGGCCTGTGTGTGTGTGTGTGTGTTCCTTCTTTTCCTCGGAAATAAGGTCAATCGTGGACAATGGTAGGAATTAGCTATGCTCGATAAATCAAGATGTTAAAGCGGAGAGCGCCACGGAGGTTAGATAGCTCCCAAGTTATAAGTGTGTGCTTATTAGAGATCGTGCTCGCAGTACTGCATTTGTACAGAGACGGTATATACTTCTTCCACAAATTTGGACGAGATAAGAGACTTGCAACAAAGATAGGAAGTGGATTCAGTGCCACTGAGTGCACTAGGAAGCCTGTAATGGTTAGCAAGGAGACCGGAGGGAGCCTTGCCGCTGCTGAATCTGTGACATTACCTTGGCAAATAAAAAGCGGCGACAGTTATGCACTAAAGTGCGGTTCATTCCCTTAACAGTTCGAGATAAATAGCCACAAAATAAAATGACGCCATTAATCCACACCTCTCAAACCTCATCTCAAACCTGGTAGACTGAAGAAGACAAGGTAAAAAGAAGACTCAGCTCTTCCATTTGGATTAGAGCACAACAACCTCTTACTTTTGTGTAGCTGCCCTCCACTGCTGCAGGTGTGCCATTGTAGCATGTGATATTTTATGGGCCGCATGCCGTGTCCACACAGCAGGGACAAAGGCATTGTTTCTTGCTCCTCCACCGTTTATGAAGTGTGAAACACTGCCTCCTGCGAGCCCTATCTCGTGCTAGTCGCCTCTCCCTTGCTTACGGCGATTCAGAAGAGTAGCGCACAAAATGGCGTGTTTCTCGCTCCATGGCTGTTTCTACAGAAAGACGCTGCCTCCAGCGAGTTATATCTTGTGCTAGTGGCCACTACTCCCTTGCTTCCTCAAAGGCGTTGTCAACTTGCCACTCGCCTGCGTGTTGATGGACATTTAGCTTTGGTGTGCCGACCTCCAATGCCTATTTTGGCATTCCTTTTTCTCCCATAACACAGTTGAATTTCTCTTGCCCGCGGTTTAGTACATACTGTCTTCGTTACACCAATGACTCTTAATTACCCATTGCGTACCGTTACATTTTAATCGTATGCACACAAACACAGGCAGCATTCTGTTTAAATGCCGCAGCCCTTTGGATCTGTTGACATATTAACTATTATTAAAACACAAACACCAGAGAATCGGCCTTGTAATGACCAAGGCGTTGAAGCAACACCAACCCTTAATTATCCATGAGTAACTGTTCCCTTCTACTGTGACAGCCCCCCGAGCCTCACGTATTTGAACTCTATAATGTGTGAAAACTTTACCGCCCCCTTTTCCGCGACACAGACCAGCCAACGGTGGCCGAAATATAGCCTTTGAACTTTTCCTATCAGCACTCTAAGCCGGGCCACCTCCTCAGTCTTTCGCCAATGTACGCTTGGACCCCCTCTTAGCGTTCTGCATGTCATCTCATTTACGCTGCCCCGCCCCAATCCCCGGCGTTGCTCCACCGCTATATCGATGCCGCTACCTCTCACGCTAGTTATTTTTGCCCTCGTATTTACGAGAAGTTTCCATCAAGCACCTTATAACGCCGCACCAGTCTTTAACCGTCGGCGCATAACCCATCGTATGCGACCATTCATTCCCCATGTTCTGTGCGGGACACAGTTCGCCTATAGAGTCTTGTTAACTACTCATGCAGCGCCTGCTGCATCCCCCCTCCTTTTTCCTTTTCTTCTTCCTCGTGTTTGATTGGTGCTATACATTCTGGCGTCCAGGAAATTAATTGCCAATTCGAATACATCGAGTAGCTCCTTCCACATTTCTTCCCTCCCTAGGTATGAACCTCTTTTCCCTACCACTTCCTCCTCTCCCCCCCACTTTCCTCCTCATTCTTCCTTCCGCTCCCCCCCCCCCCGCTTCCCCCTTTTTTTTTTACCCCCCCTTTTCTTCCCCCTCCCTTCATCTTACCCTCACCCCCCCCGCCCTTACCCTTTTCTTTTTTCTTCCCCCTCCCCCCCTCCCGCACTCATGGGTCAACCATTATTAACATTTCTTTTTTTCGATGATTACCCCTCAGGGTTTTTTATACATTATTCCACCTAGAATCACAGATAGCATGTATATTCCACGGCCACTTATAACACGCCTCATGTTTTACGCTTAAACCCCTATATCGTCAATGACACGCCATACCCAGGAGTTTCACCCCGCCCCGCTGCCGTATCATAGCCCTTGTTGTCCCCTGTTCGACCCAAAGATTTGTCTTTTATGATATAACCACTGCGAAATAATGCCGCCACTATTACCTTGAGTTGTCCCCGCGCTTTCTTTGTTTTAATACTGGGAACGGCTCGCTTTTCCCTCTCTCCCCTCCTTCTTTCTCCCCTTCCCTTTTGTCTATAACCCGACATTCTTCACCCCCCTGAAGCATATCGTACGCCGAAAATGTATTTGTCCCTGCCGGCTATATTTTCCCTGAACGTCATCAAAGCAGTTCGCTATAGTTGCAGTTGTCTACAGTTTGGAACTAGCCCGCTTCGTTTTTTTCATTGTACGAGCCCCACAGCACACACGGGCCCAAGTTTTGTCTCATCTCCGCTGCACTAACGCTGAATTCAAAACTCCGCCCTTCATAGTAGAACTCTTCTCCTTGGCCTCCCGTCTAAAATTTCACCGCCCAGTTCTTTCATATATCACCGTGGTCAGTTTCTGTTACACATTACGATTTCCCTGACCTTTTTGCCGCGCCGCCATCTTGGCCCCTTTACGCATTCTCTTTATTTATATCGACAGCCCCTTGAAAGGTAAGAGTAGTAAAGGGGTTGGTTAATTCCCGTTATTCGCTACCAAACTCGTATTAATGGTTTTTGATTTTATTTCCCGGTTGTGCACGTTCCCTTGGGTCTTTAGCAGG